AAAGCACTCTGGTTGGTAGAAATAATGGAGTTCAAAATATTCTTCAACGTGTTAACAAACACCTTCGAAATCATTTTATAGCAGTTCGGCCTGAAATCAGCAACCCTCCTTTGATCTTTGGACTGTGGAATGAGAACAAGCATGGTTTATTTGACACGAGCCATATCCATTTTATTGTTGAGAATATTAGACAACAAACAGTGAGCTCCTTTCCCACAATTTGCCAGAAAGCTTTAAAGAAAGCTCCAGAAATCCCATCAGCCCCAGGAGATTCATTATGATGAATCTGACTAACTGTCGTATTGATCTCCTCTTCACTAAATCTCGTCAGGAACTTGTTGTTTACTTGTTGGGTGACCATTGCCTCAATATGCTGAGTTAATTGTTGAATATCAAAATTAGGAGGGGAGGTTGAGGAAAATAGATCTGAAAATAGTTTGAAATCATACCAGCTACTAGTTTCTGGTCAACTTCCCATCTTCCATTCTGATCTAGGAGTCCCTTGATTTTGTTCACTCGTTTTCTATGAGAGACCTTATTATGAAACCATTTTGTATTGCAGTTTCCCCCACTTTAAGCCAATGTTCTCAGGACCTCTGCTTCCACTAGATTTCTTCTTCGAGAAGCAGCTGTTCGAGTTCGACTTCAGCACAATTTRACCCGTTCTGGTCAGTCCGATGAGGAAGATTCTGAATAGCTTGTTCTATTTGCATTTCAGCCACTTGAATTCGTCTTTTGTAGTTTTCTGTTCGATTGGAACATCAATTGGACAAGGACTGAAGGCAAGATTTTAGTTTGGCTTTTAGAGAACTAGGACTGGCATGGAAAGGGCTACTCTACCAACCATTACCCACAACTGCTTCACAACCCACATCTTTTAGCCAAGTTTCTTCAAACCGAAGAATTCTCTTTGATCTATTCTGCTTCTTTACAGCCTCAACGGCCACTTCTAACCTCAACAATCTATGATTAGAAGTTCTATAACCCAGATGCYTGACATTGCTATTAGGGAAAAGAGAGAGTTAAGTTGGGTTACAAAAAATCCTATCTAACCTTTCAAAAATAGTTTGACCATTTGACCACCTGTTGCACCACGTAAAAGGGTTCCAATAAACCCTATATCCATAAGGCTACAATCATCCACCATCCTACTAAAGTTGATAATCAACCTATCATCTTTCCTATGCCCACCTCTTCTCCCCATGTTCTAAAATGTCATTAAAGTCGCCCCCAATTAGCCAAGGTGTGGATAAACTACCCCTTAAACTCCTCATTAGATCTCACGATAACTTGCAACTCTCCTCCTCCGGGTAACCGTAGAAACCTGTCAGCTTCCACTCATTTCTTTTGAAAAATGCACYCAACCATCATTGTGGTGGTTGGAAAAAGAATTAAGAGTAAAATTCACCTGCTCCTGCCATAACAATACCAAGCCTCTACTTCTACCCTGACAATCCACCGAAAAACAGTTCCTGAAACCGAGTTAGATCTTCAAATCTTGCCACTTGTCACTCATCACTTTTGTTTCGGACAAAAATAACACCTAGGGTTGCTACACTAAATTGTGCAGACTTCGTAATGTTCGAGTTTCTCACTACTAATTTCACTCACTGTCTCACTAGCTACTTTCTTTTGTTTACCTAAGCCTTGGGCAAAATATCATAGGCCTTTTCACGACTAGCCAGGCCTCTGTCCTGCCTTTTCCATGTTTGCTTGGCCCCCTTTCCACCTTTTTGCAAGGGCCCACCCCAATTGTGGTAATTATCCACCATGTATTTGGAATTATTCGTGGTCAAATGTCCCCTTCCTTTTAAATCACCTTCTAATTCAGCAAATAATTCAAATTCCATATAATCCGCATASCATTAAATTCCTTGTTTTTCTTAATTGCCAAAATTTCTTCCCTCCCAGAAACATCAAGAGACATTGATTGTAAAAGTAAAGAGAGATCCACGATTTCTGCTTAAACTTGTGCTCTTTCCTCCTCCATGGTCGGATCCTCAGCCTCCCGGTGGTGCGCCGCCTCTTGGTACTTCGTGTCCTCCCCCGTCTGCCGCTGCTTAGGTAATGGTTCGTTGGTAGATCTTTAGTTGTCATCACTCTGCCTCCAAGCTCCCCGACCACCTCGACCTCCTTTAAGATGGTGACCCCTACCCGATCGACCTCCCCATATGCCCCTCCCATCATCCCCAATCTTAGATTTCTTTAGGATCGAAGCTCGTAGCAATTCGCCATACTGTTCGTGTTTTCCTTTATCCGAATTCATGTGTCGTTTATCATATTCTCTAGCAAAGTGTCCCAAACTTCCGCATTCATAACGAAAGTCATGCAAATGACACCAAACATTAAATTACTAAGTGATTAAATTTATTACAAAATATTTTTTCATTTCATTAGAGAGATTAGGGCTTCATGGAATGAAGGAAAGAAAAAGGGATGGAGATATGATTTTTGAGAGAGAAATAGATTTGAAATTGAAAAATCCCTAAATTACGTATGGTTTCCCTTGTTTACAAGGGTAAAAAGTGTTTTCTATCGTTTTACACTCAGAAACTGTGTTTTAAGTTTAGTTTACTGTCCATAATCTGTCATTTGGGGTTATCTTAGGTTATACATGCATATAGGACATGTTTACATGCTTTAGAGTTGATTTCTAATGAAAATTACAATTTTGTGCAAAAAATACCGAGCTAGACGTCTGGARCCTTCCCCAATTCCAAGAATGCYCTTAATGTAAAACGCAAGTTTTTATGTGTTTTGAAGCTCCCCCAAGYCTCTCCACGTGTCTTCCATGCATTGATGATAGTCAATTCAACCAACAACCCAACTAAAATATGTTGTAAAGGGATGACTCTCCATGAAAGTCTCAACCTCCTAACCACCTTGAAGTTCCTATAAATACAGCAGCTTCCCTCATTTTCAGCTTTCGACATTTTACTCTCAGCTTCTTTACGTTTTCCCTTTTAAGTTTTTAGTTGTTGTTTTAAACTTTGTTTATTTCAGGTTCATCCTTTATTTTCCTTGTTATTCTTAGATKGTAAGTTTGATCTTATTCAATTAAAATTCCAGCAAGTTCCTTGATATCCATCTCTCTCTCTACGAAGTTGTAATCACACAATCTTGTGGAATCGACTGAGTATTGTTCCTCAATCTTGAAAGAGAACGGGTTAGGGTCATTCAGGTTACAACTCCACCATTTTCAGCTTGTTTAAATTCTATCTATCTTTTAATCATGTCTCTTATTTCTATCAACGTTCAATTTTGTTTTTCATTTAAAGTTATGAATTAAATTTATTTTCCCAAGCCTGGTTATGGATGATTAGCTAAAGTTTTTAAAATTCAATAAGGCAAGAGGTGTTTTTCTCTTCTTTTATCATTTAAGGTTGTTTTACAAAGTTACAACTTGATTTGGCCAATTAGTGTTTTAACCAAGCATCAATACTGAAAGGGTTGATACATTTTCACAACTTTAATGATTTAACTTTGGAGAGAAATACTTTAGACATAAAGATTTCGCTCGGATAGCCTAGACATAGGACCTCGACCTAAAGTTATGGTTTGTTTTTATTAAATTAAGTTCAATTTTCTAATAGACATAGTAGGGATGAACTTATACCTTCAAAATCACTTAGACATAAGAAGATGGCGAAGCAAAATCGATGAAAAAATTAAGAGGCACATGGCGCCTAGTTGGAAAAAGTTGTCGTATTTTTAGCTAATTCGAAGTAACKGGRCTGAGTTTATTGCACTAAGTCTTAAAATACCAAAACCAACATTATCCTTGATATTTGCTACCCCAAATTCAATTGCAAAGTCACCAATCAACATCATTTTCATTARAAAGACCTCATTTGTCTCTGAGGATCGATACTCGGAATACTTATTTCGTTTTACTACTTGGACGGGTGTACACTTGTGCTCTATCATTTATTTTCATTCCAAAATCCCAAACAACACACACAGAGATTAGGGTTTCATGGAAYGAAGGAAGGAAAAAAAGGAGGGAGATCTTATTTTTGATAGAGAAATAGATTTGAAATTAAAAAAATCTCTAAATTAAGGATTTTTCCATATTTTGAATTTTTCTTAATTGTTTATTAAATATATATTTAAGAGGGTAAATTTGTAAAATTCTAGAGGGGTTCTATCTTAACCATTTTAAGACAAAAGTATAAAATCTCGAACATTAATCTATTTATGTAAATTTAGTCTCTATATAGTCTAGTAGTTTACTTATGCCTTACAAGTATAACACTAATTTGCAAACGGGTCCTTAATGGTTTTGAAAGTGGCTGTATTTTATTCGCATGGTGCTCCTTCTCCCATAGCTTTTTTATACTGTTGAACTTGTAKTGGTATTTTGGAAGCAAATATGAATTATTTTTATTAGTGGTTTTTAAAATTAAAAAAATAATAATAATAATCAGTTTCTTATTTGATTTTTTTAAAAAAAAAAAATCAATCAATTACCTTTTCAAATTTCAGTAACTAATTTTGTTAGACTGGTGTATTTAATTTTAATGATTTTAAGGGTGTGTTTGAGAGTCTTTCCTTTCCATAAACCATGTTTGAAAATTARAAGTTTGATTTTAAAAAAGTTTAAAATCTTTTGTAAGGCGTCACTTAGATGGTGATTTTGAAAAATTAATTATACTTAAATTTTTTTTTTTCAAAATCACTCATTCTACCATCACTCTCCAAGGTGTGTTTGATCTCTTTCTAATTGATAATTACATAAATTCTTGGTAATCGAGATCACAAAGAAGTATTAAATCTTATTCTTAGGTAGCTACTCTAACTCTCTATACCCCACAAAATWGCAAAAATATCCTGCCTCCCAAAGAGTTTTGCCCTTATTCCAAAAAGGTGATACAACAAAACCTCCTCCACCATCGTCCTGTATTCTTCKTTTCTCGTCCTAAAGTCTCTAAAAGGCTCAAAAGATCACGCTCATGACATACTTGAGATGCACGTTGTTTCAAATAAATTGCAGATAAAAAGAATGTATGAAATAAAGATAMTTGTCAAGAAAAGTCACTCAGGACTTTATACAACAATCAATCCTATAGTTTACAAATTTAAATTTACCTACCAAAAGGAAAAATAAAAAATAAAAGGAGCAAAATCTCCATTGTAGCATAGACTCATTCACAATTGAATCACCCGCAAGCCAAAATAACAAATGAGARCCCAACAAGCTTTGAAAGAATCTCAACCTTGGCTTGAAATAAGCATCTGCTTTCTGTTGGCCCTATCAGAACTGTTGGTCTTGAGACACAGCTCTGAATCTGATATAGTACACTTCAGTTTCATTTCCAGATTTCTTCTGCATACCTAACAGTTGGGAAGGTCATTTGGAGGAGGAAGAAGAGACTCCTCTGGCCCTTTGCCATTGTCCACTAGAAATGCCATCTTCAGTCCCCATGTGGTGTGCACTTCCAAATGGCAATGCATAAACCAAACCCCTGCCAATATGAAGCAACAAAAACCCCACAAATTTCATGACATGTTCATGTCAATCAATAGATTTTAAGTTTTGTAGCATTTTCCCAATCATTTTCCTTCAAGTCTTTCCCGTCATTAAACATTGAAAGAAAGATGACGGTTGAATTTTGAATTTCAAAATGATATTCCGATGAGGTAGTTAGTTGTTAGTATGATAGAACTCAAACTAGAAATATATTGAAATATAAAAGATATAAGAACTACAAAAACTCCCAAGTAATTCTACGTACTTGGACCCTCCCCTCTCTTGAGTATTCTTACTCAAGCGTAAACCATACTCACCTATTGCCTATCTCACTCCTCACTCACTCTATTTATAACCAAACCTCCTAACAACTTTCCTAACCAATTTCTAATATACCCTTAATACTCTAATAATATCCTCAATTGTATCCTATTAGCAATCCTATCACGCTTCAAATGAGTACATTCTATATAAAAATAAGCCATATTTGATAAAACATGTTAGTTAATATAATGTCTTTTGATGATGCTGCATAATCACTTTGTCTATTAACTTTAACATCTTGTGACACTAAAGTATAAAAATCGAAACTTTTAAAAGGTTTAGAATGAAACTAAAAAGAAAAAAAACAAAAATATTGAAGACTAAATTTATACTTTGCGTTCATAAAATTGCCTCTAGTTTCCAGCAAAGTAAAGGTGTTACCTGGATTATCAGCCCGGAATCTGATAGCAACCCATCCCCCAGAAGGAACCCCAATTGTATTTCTCTCCACAGGGTCAATAAGATTGAATTTCTTGGGATCTTTCTTGGGATTGAAGTTCCCTAAGCCACTTCCAACAACAAAGAAGTTGAAACCATGAAGATGAACTGGATGGTTTTCTGGAGCTATCATAGCAGTATCTTGTAACACCAATTGAACCGTAGAGTTATAAGGTAGTCTGTAAAGCCTAGTCCCCTTTGTCGTCTGCAAGTTACTCGGCTGCTTTCCCGTATAGTTGTATCTTATTGGTGGATTTGCAGGAAAGTCATCAGTAAAGACACCATTAATTTTGAAGTAATGAGCTTGAAGAAGTGAAATGGAAGGCATAACAAATGTCACATTGTTTATATCAGCCACCACTTGGTTGCCACTCGAGCATGATTTACAAGGATTAACTCCGAGGCCAACTGTGAAGAGCAAAGAATGATCAACTTCTAATGGGACTCTCGCTGGATAATGTTTTGAGTTCAAGCTGCGGAGGGAGTTTGTGAACTTTGTTGCAATGGGGGTGGCGTTTTGAGGAGGCAGGCCAGTGAAGCTGGTAGGGGTAGTAGAAAGTGTGCCTGAGTAATGTAGAGTGGCAGTGGCAGTCACATTATCAACCGCAACAATGGGGGTGTCCATAAAAGTTGATGCCGAAACCGCATACTTGCCGCTCTCAAGGTTGGCTGTCAAAAGGGCGTTTGTGGTTTGGCCCGGTGCTATGAGGATGGTGTCGGTGCTGAAGGGTTTTGTGTATGCGGCATCGACTTCGACCACAGTGAGCTTGTGCCCAGCAATCTTGAAGAAGAGCTCTTCATTCAGTGCAGCATTGATGATTCGCAACAAATATGTTTTACCAGGTTGTACTGGCACGGAGAATCCTGTGAAAACCAAATATGTCCTTAATCATATATTAGGAGTGTCAAAATTGCCGATGCCTCATTAACAGCTATGCGGCAAATCTTCATTTTAAGTGAGATTAAATATATCCTAAACTATTAGCTTTAACTTTTGGCTTTAGTATTAGTTCAACATGGTATCAGAGAGGTCCTATGTTCAAACYCTACCCTAACAATGTTATGCTCATGCTAATTTCTAAACTCACAAACAAGAGAGAGTGTTAATTATATGTATATATAAGATTTAATATAATGAAACTTATCAACTTAAGCTTTTGAATTTCGCAGAATTTTGAACACTATGATGAAGAATCCCTAACTTCTTTATGCTAAATGAAAACACCATTACCTCAAACAGACAAACCCATGCTCCTGAATTTGCTAATAATGCCTACATTTACCTCGTGTGAGACAACCATGGACAGGCCCAGGATGGCCATTGATGGTGTGAGCATCAGAGACATTAGGAGCCAAACCAGACTTAGTAGCCTCATTAATAACAGCTTCAACATCAGACTTCCACCACTCACCTAAAAGTAAAACAACCAAAAACAATAACAAAGAGTTGGTTGCGGCAATTCAACAAACACCTACAGTGCATTAGCCGAAAAGGGTGGAAATAAGCTCAATTAAAAAGGGCGAGTACCTAATACGAGAACGAGTTCCTTATGGGGCGTGGGGAATGGGTAAGGGACGCCGAGCTTGGGCAAAATGACGATTGCGCCGTAGAGAGTGGCTCTGAGCCAAAGAATATGGGCGTGCCACAGAAGAGTCCCTCTCTGGCCGGTGATGGTGAAGTTGTAAGTATAGCTTTGCCCGCGTTGGATTGGGCACTGCGTTATATAGGCTGGCCCATCTGCCCATCCCGTTCTCAGCTGTCTAATGCCATGCCTGTGTGACCAGACCGTTCAAAAGAGCCAAGTATTATCTTTTTTTCTACATTTTTATTACGATTTATTTCATAAATTTTAATTTCTAACGAAAAAGATCTTTTCCAAAGTTAAAGTTTCAACTTAGGTTAGGTAACAATTTACTCTTTGTAATTTATAAACGTTTGTCTCTCAACATTTTATCAACCTACATATTTAGAAACTCCATTAGATTTTAACAACATTTGTCACGATAGAGACCTAAATAAAGTATAAAGGCTAAACTGTTAYAAATTTAAAAGTACATTGACTAAATTGTTTACCAACTAAATTTTAGGGGCTAAATCGTTACTTCAATGAAAGTATAAAAATGAAAAAAAAAATGATTTTTAACCATATTTATATAATTTTAAAACTTTAGTTAAATTATAAATTTTATCCCTATAATTTGGATCAACTGAAATTTAGTTCTTATGATTTTAAACTTTCAATTTGGTCCCCAAAGGCGGGTAGACTTTACAAATTGTCACTAAATAATGATAGAAAGTTTTGAAACCGTATGAGTTAAAATGAAAATTAACATAAATCACAAAGATCAGATTTGTTTAACTTAAAATTTTAAACTTGTCCTCATTAATGATAGTTTATATTTAGATAATCTTATTGAAGTTTACAAATTAAAAAAAAAAAAACATTAGTAGTCTAAATCATGAAGTTGTAAAAATGTGCGAATTCAATTCCTATTGAGATATGGAGAATTCGAACTCACGACCTCCTGATCGAATCTCATGATTAAGTTGGCAGTAATCTATTATAATTAATATGATCGTTTTATGAAAATTACACAYGTCAAAGTATCAACCAATAGATTGTGAGTTCGATCCCCACCCCACATGTTGTACTAAAAAAAATAAAAAGAGATACAATATGTTACTAATTTTCCAGTCAATTATTTTGAAAAAAGAAAATAAAAATCTTATACATGTTTAATAATTACTCTGCTTTTCTTTTCTTTTTTTCTGAAAATACAAAAACTATATGTAAACTTGTTGTTTTTGTTTTGATTTCCACCTAATTAATAAGCTTTCTGTTTACTAAAAAAAAATAATAACAAAAATAAGCTTTCTGATTCTAGGACAAAATTTTAAAACCATATATATATTTTTTAACTCTTAAAATTTGGCCAAAACGTGTAAAAATATTTCTAGAAAAAAAAAACTTGTAAGTAAACAAATTCATTTGTTTAAAAGAATTAAAAATAAAATATTTGTAAAAAAGAAAAAAGAAAAAAAAAGCCTTGCCATTTGATGAAGCTAGCAAAATATAGTTTTATAAATTATTATTTGAGCACAGTTATAGCAATAAATCAATAATTAATTGTAAATATAACAATAAATTTTATGATTACAAATATAATAAAAAATGGAGGCCTAGCCCAAACGAAAGAAATGGAAAAACTGTTTATACCAATCGTATTGATATATATACCTAATATCAACTATATCAGTGATATGAAGTATATCAGTAACAATGACAAAATTGAAATAAAAAAAACGAATTTTATCATATTTGTAAAATCAACCGACTAATATTATAGTTATAAAGTGGTAATTATTTGCCATGAATGTTTAAGACCCGAGTAACAACGACCCATCAAAATTTTAGAATTGATATTATTACAACCTCYGARACATGAAGCATGTAACACAAGAACAGGCTATATTTTGTTTTGTGTGTGTGTTTTTTTTTTTAATCTATATATTTTGTTAATTTTATGGATAAATTTTGAGKTCCAGCTAAATTAAAAAATTTATGAAATTGAAGACTTCAACTCAATTAAGTTTAGTTGGTAGGAAGATAGGATTAGTTGGAAGTTAGTAATTCAAATAGGAAAATTTGAATCAATTTTAATACAAATAAAGTTTTAGTTAATTTTGTTTGAATTATTTTTTTTTAATATAGAGATTCGAATCAATGATCTTTTATTGGAGATAAATATCATAATTAATCAATTGAGCTAAATTTATATTAGAAGTATTTAAATAAATAACATAAAATAATTATATATTTTCATATATATCAAAAAGTTTAAAAGAGAGAATTCAAAATCAAAACTCAAACTAAAATATATGTAAAATACACTAAAATAACATCATGTTTTTATTCGRAAAAATCCTCAATTCGACACTGTCAATTCATCAAAATAAAATTGGTCAATTTTAACAGGTAATTTTTTGCAATAGTAATTCAAAATTATTAATTACATAATAATAACTTAAACTTAAAATTAAAATTAAGCTAAGAGCAAATTTAATACTTTAAAAAATAACTCAAATGAAAGGTGCCTTTTTCATTTTTTTTTTAATATTTTTTTTTCTTTTGAGTATAATAAATGTAGCGTATAGAATAGATGTCTTAACCGATTATTTATACTAAGATTGATTGAAATATTCAATTGAGAGAGGCTGACCAATGGATGCTAACGTTATATGGGACATGGTTGACGACTTTGACCAAAACGGTGTCGTCTTCTCTGGCATAAATGGTRGGACCCGGGAACTTCCCATTTACAGTAACTATGGRCTTACTTGAACAAAGCCTGGTAACTTTCTTCATCACCACCTGTTGTAAATTATAGAGGTGAGAATTTGAATCTATAATGTTTTAGAGTGAATAAAGATACTTTAATTATTTAAATATACAAATAATATACTTGAATTGTATAGGTAGAAGTTGATTGTATTAAATTTATTTTTTATTAAAATTAATGGTAAATCCATTCATTTTATGAAAAATAAAATTGATATTGAAATTATTTTTTTACAAAATACCCAATTGTGCGACAACAAGACGAACCAAATACCAATCCAACTTCTTATTATCAACCAAAAAGTCGGAGATTCGAATTATCACTCCATATGTTGTTGAACTAAAAAAAAGAAAAAAAATATTATGTTTCCATGTATATTTTGTAAAATTGTATTTTAAAAATGAGTTAAAACTTCCATACAAATATTTTTTATTAATTTAATTAATGAACATAATTCAACGGTAAATGACATTTAGATTAGAAGTTTAAATTCTCATGCTTCATATTTGTTAATACCGTTAACAAATATTAACGTTCAATGTGACATATTGCACGTTGATTTACTTAAATCGTGTGTTGTATCATGTTAATTAATTTATTTAAAATTTGTCTAATAAATATATCAATCGATATTTTTAATAGAGAACAAATAAAAAAAATTAAATTATAAGTTTGGTCCCTGAACTTTCAATAAGCCATTATGTACTTTAAAAACGTTTCTAAGACGTCTTTAAAATTTCAAAATTATTTTATCTAATTTGTAAAAGGTTTTTGATAAATTCCTTAACTTCAAATTTTGTGTCTATTATTAACTAATTCTTTATTTTAACTATTACATCACCAAACACCTATATATTTGCTTGTGATTAGATGGATAGAATTAGCTTAGACAGCATGACACACGTAATCATTRAATCATTAGAGTGTTAACAATATGACTYTGTGAAACACAAAATTAAAAGTAGAGAGACATATAACTAAATTAGAAACATTTTAAAGTACAAAGACTGATATAGCTACAACATCGAAAGTATTGGTTTTAGAGTTTGGTAACCGTTCTTATTTCTCGTTACTTATTTTTTAAAAAGTGTTTTCAAAATTGGGCGAAATTTTAGAAACAACAAATAATCAAATTTCTTATTTATTATTTATTATTMCCACTTCTATTTTTTCCAAAACATAAGATAAATGTATTATTTTATTKTTGAAATACGCAATAAAATATAACATAAAAGTTTTGAATATTTAATTTGAATTCAAATTAAAACTAAAATTAAGTAGGATTAAGTTTATGAATTATAAAGCTAACTATATTATATCTTACATTGAACTTGTAATGACGGACGAGGCATTCCACCGGCGCCGGCGACAAGAAACAAGAAGCGGCCAGCAGCAGCGCCGCCGCTAAGCCTCTGAAGAAGCGCAGCCCCGGCACCGGCACCGCCATCTTCTGCTTCTCTATATTTAACTGTAGCGGCGGAAGAGAGATCGATGGATACGAGAACGATGGATCAAACTATGAATATATAAACAATTTTTTGGGCAGTTGAATTGAATAGGTTTCGTTACGATGTCATTGCATTAGTTAGATTGCCCAAAGGAATTCTCAACACCTAAGCCTTTTTTTTTCTCTCTCTCTCTCTTTCAAATTTTAAAGATGCACCAATTGGGTACCTAAAGAAGGAACAGTATGGAGGAGAGATAAATTAAAGTATTAGTAATTTAGGATTGGTTTGTTAAGAGTGGTTTGGTAAAGTTTCCGTTTATTTATTAAAAATATAATTGCATGTCCCCAACACTCATGAGTTCAAACATGACCAAACACCATTTATATATATGTTTTGTAACAAATTGGAAATGGAAACAAAGTAACAATAAATTTGTGTTGACTGTTCTCAACATTTCTATACAATTTTGAGAATGTTTCCAAAAAATGAGAAACAAGAAATATAATTAGTTACAAAATGTTTAGTTTTCTTAATAAAATTTGGAAATGAGAAACAATAAATAGGAACGTTATCAAGCGAGTCCTAACGTTCCTAATTCCTCTTTTTTTAATAAAGAAAAATATAATTCATGACTCTCAACCCCATAGATGCCAGAATGGTTGATTTTTATTGATGTTGAAACACATTGGAATGAGAACTTTCTAAAATTTCTATATAATTTTAAAAATGTGTTTAAAAAAATATAAACAAAGAAACATAAATAGTTGTAAAATGCTTAGATTTCTTAATAAAACTATAAACGATAAATAAGAAAAGAGAACGTTACCAAACGATTTTTTTTTTTTTTTACCAAGCGAACCTTCAATGGTTAAATCTTGTTTTGGTTCATGAACGTATAGATTTATACTATTTTGGTTATTAGGGGATCATTTATTGGGTGAGAATCAAAATACATTATTTAGATTCTTGCGTTTGTTTTTTAGGAATATAGGATATATATCCAAACACATTTTGTGAACAGATGTTCCGATATCTCAGAATGTCAATGCAGAGAGACATCTAAAGGAGCTTTTGATGGCCTCTTGAAATATATGAGATTTGTAAAGACCCGTTTAGTAACGTTTTCGTTCTTAGAAACGTTAAGCAGATGATAACTATGTCTGTTTCTTGTTTTCATTTTCTTAGAAACGTTTTTTAAAATGGATAGAAATTTTAGAAACAATAAAATCAAACTTCTGGTCTGTGGTTCCCATTTTCCATTTTTTTCCAAAACATCAGGTAAAACTATTGTTTTATTGAATAATATTAAAAAATATTTATAGCATAAAAATATTTGAATATTTAATTTAATATTAAATTTAAAATTTTAGATACCTTACGTTTCTTTTTCAATAAAAAATAAAGAACAAGAAACAATTTTTTAATTTTATAATTAAAACAAATTAATGTATTTATTAAGTATTAAATAACTCTATGGAATTAAATATATTTATATATTACATTTACATTTAATGATATAATATCTCAATTTATTTTTAATCGAAATTGAGGTGTAATCTTCTGGAAAATTTCTAATCCTCCCGTAATAGAAAACTTTCATGCTCCTTCCATTTAAAAGTTGCCACATCTAAAGTATCTTTATTATTATAAAAAGTGAAAAAAATATATAATATATTTTACGTGAAGTCCACATATTTAGAAACAATATTTATTCCATGTAATTTACTTTCTCTCTCTTAATTTAATGTTACATTATCTCTCCTATTTATTACTCTTATACATGATTATTTATTTTTATTTATTTTTTAATCTATTTCTCATCTATTTTTTTAATCTATTTCTCATTTCAGTACTATTTATATCTTCAATTGYTTATCTTATTCTCAATTTTCATTTCCTTAATTTTCTCCCTTAAGAGTTTTCATTTTTCTTACAGAAGGTTGGAACTTCAACTATTTGTATTTCATCATTTAAATTACGTATGACTTTTCAATCTATTTTTAATTTTTATGGTTCTTTATTATTATTATTTTTTTTATCTATTCCATTCTAATCATTTTATATCTTTTTCACTTTTTCTTGAATGCATAAAATACTTTAATGTCTTCATCCACACGGAAAGAAATGAATCTTAAAGTATGTTATGTTTAATTTTTTTCATTTTTATGAATTTTATTATTTGATGAAAATACACTTGTTTTTTTTTGTCATTTTGAGCAAAAACATTGTTGAACTTTAGTTTAACTGAAAATTTTGTTTCATATAAACGGTTAGCCCATAACATTTAATTCAATAAAATGGAAATAAATGGCTAGCCCATAACATATAATTCAAAAAATAAAATTTTCAGTTTTAAATATATGTAAATTAATTAATCATGTTTTATTATTTGATATTGATACGTATATTAAAACAAAAGTTGGATAACAAAATAGGTAACAAATAAAATACATTGTATTTACTTCTTAAGTATTTTTAAGTATCTAGTTTTAAAATTTTTGTTTTTATTTGAAAAATAAAGTTACAAATAAAATTTAATTATAATATTGATTAAATGATACAAAACAATTATTTAACTATTTGAAAATAAAATTACAAACAAAATGAAAATATCAAAATAAAATAAACAAACCTTCTTTCTTATTTTAGAAATCTACGAATGACAATAAAAAAATAAGATATAAAACTACTTAAATACAAATTTTATTGGTTTGAAGAAAGAGAAAAAAGTGAAATAATAGTTACATTAACAAAAGAAAGCAAATCTACCAAATGTAAACTTAGCATAACTTAACTRGTTAAAATATTTATCCGGATCAAAAAGTCATAAATGCATATATATGTCCTGCTGAAAGAAGAAAATTAAGATGTAAAAAAAAACAAGGAAAGAGGAAAAAAGGAAACAAAATAAAGAAAGAAAAAATTAGCAAATAAAAGTTGAGAATAAGAGAAGTGAAAGATGTAAATAAGAAATAAATAAAAAAATTAAAAAAATAAATAATCATATAAGAATTAAGAGTAATAGATAGGAGAGAGAATGTACGGTTAAATTAAGAGAGAAGATGAAATACGTAGAATAAATATGGTTTCAAATGTGGATCCCATGTAAAATGGAAGGAGTATGGAAGTTCTTCATATAAGGAGCAATCTTCTCTTTATTTCACCCTTTCCAATTATTTTTCACTATTTTTGTAACTAATTATTTTTCAATATTTTTGTAATTAATCATTTTTCCCTTTATTTTAATTAAGATGCATCCTTCTGTACCATTGGAATTGGTTTTTTGTTTAGTTATTCCGTATAAATTCTAAAAAACAAAGAATGAATTCCACACGGAGACGTGATAAAAAAAAATTATATCATAAATCAGTATTATTCCTTTGGATTTTTTCTTTTTCTAAACTTGATAATGTATAAATATAAGCCAATGGCCCTACTAGAATATATATATATATATATATAATCCAATCAAGATATTATCAATTATGTAATTGGCTTCTTTTGAAAAAAAAAAGAAAGTTCAAGTTGAAATTGAGATGAATGGCTAATATTAGATATTTTATATATAGAAAAAAAGACTCAAATTAATACAAATTAATTTGTTTTAAAAAATAAAATATAAAATTGGTATAAATTAAATTCATGAAAATACAAATTATTAAAGACATAAAAGTTAACAGTAAAAATTACATAAATATTCGTAAAAACTTTCTTAGAAAAATATATAATTATAAGATACCCCAAGTATAAATCAGGCGTAGCTATTCAAATATACGCATACATCATTATAAGTTTTCTTTTAAAACAAATGTTGTTATCTAAAGATGTTAGATACCTAATTAAGATGTTTAAAATTTCGGACATCTAAAGATGCCGAACATCAAAATCTCACAAAACAAACAACCCCTAAACTTTCAAAAGGTTGGTTTTATTTATAAACTTAAAAAGAAAAAAACTTTTAGTTGTCCTTAAACTTTCAAAATATCTTTTTAAGTCATGAATTAAAAAAAAATATAACCGTTTTGGTCCTTGGTGTATCATTTTTCCATTTAATGTTTTCATTTACCTAATACTCGTTTCCAACATTTGTAGTTTGTGTACATGCTCACATTAATATGTTAATATAGAGATATTCCAAGCAACATTAACAAATTGTTAAAAAAATAAAAATAAAAAATAAAGATCAATATGTTTATTTCTCTAAAGTTTAGGAACTAAAATAAAATGAAATAAGCAATTCAACAACCATAATTGGTATTTAAAAATTTCGAGAACAAAAAATGGAACAAACCTTAAAGTCAAAAGGAATTAAATGAGATCTTAAAACCTAATATTATGTAAGATTAGGTTTTCTACTTTGCCAAAAAAAAAGTTTATTTTCCAAAAAGAAAAGTGATTATTAAGTTAAATCATACATTAGATCAATTATCTTCCAACGTTTGTATCAATTATAGAGGTCAAGAAATGATCCTGCAATTCTCAAATTTACCTTCAATGTATAAAAAACTTTCACATCATTCTACGAAAATTATTAAAATCAACTAAAAACAAGGTGATATCATTAAATTATTATTATATTAAAACATATTTAGACAATCGGATATATAATATCTAACAGAAAACCCAACAAGTTAGACCATCAAAATCTATTTAAATTCATTTATTTCAAGTGGAATGTTCCAATATTAAAATATAGTGATAAAACATTAATTTAATGACACATAAAATGGATAGAAAATAGAATCCTAGAAGAAGGTATAATATAATATAAAAAACTATTAATAAAAGATTCTGAAACTTGAAAATATATTTTAAATTGGGAAGTTGATTTGTTTCAACGAGACGTAGGTGGCGGTAAGAGAAGGCAGTTGCAGGATTTGGTGCAACCGTATTGGGGTGAAGTACACCCGATCCTAGCTAACATAACCAAACACTTGATTCATACAAAAACGGTGGAAAATAGAACTAATAATAATTTTAATCCTAAAAAGTTTTTAAAATTTTATTAAAATCTATTCCTCATCTTTAAGGAAAAAATTTACACGACTCATTTTTTTGTACCTTCAATTTTTTTTTTATTTTTTATTTTTATCATGCTACTTTATTGGATTATAGTCTCAACTCATCAATAAGATGAAATTTATAAGGGTTTGTTGGTGTGAACTTTTCTTAAAAGTTAGTGTTGGAAAAAATCGAGAAATGCCACGTCGGCTTTGGGTCACTGATGTGCGGAGGTTGGCAGTCTAAACTTAGCCACGCAGCAGGAGGTTCCTACAGCTTGGTGAGCCTGAGTTTCCAGCCAGAGCACCTCCTCTCGCGTATATTTGGGAGTAATTTTAACAGAGTTAATAACTGTCAGGATCATGCCGCGATCCTCACCTTAATTCTCATAATAGGAATTCCCATATGAACTCCTATAAGTACACTCTCATTTCAACCAAGCAAATATGCAATTGATCTATCTAAAATCGACTTAGAGATTCAAACTTACAACTGACTTGAGGGTCGAAGCATCTTTTCGTTATTTGCAGGTCTCCTTGCCAAGCTCGCTCGACTTAGCTCGATCTTTCGGATATCATCACGTAGATTTCTTCCAAAAATAATAATAATAATTATTGTTTTTGCTTTTTTTTAGAATATAACACATTATAGTTGTAGGATGAGATTCAAATCATCATAAGGTTACTAAGAGAGCTATGACTTATTAAAACGACCTCCCACATCGGCTTTGATGCACGTGCCGCCGATTGCTGAAGGTCACCAAAACCATGGAGGCTATTGGTTAATAAAATGCGTGGGGGCTGCTTGTTTCAAAAGAAATAGAAAAGAAAAATGTTAATTAGAGAAAAGAGAGAAAGAGGAAAGAAGGAAAAGAGAAATCTCAAGAACATTTTAGAGAGTGAAAGAAAAATATCCATAATTACATCGGAGAGAAAGAGAGAAGAAAATAAGGAAGATAAAACAAAGAAAGAATGTGTTAATGGAAAATAGAGAGAAAGAACCAATTATGTAAAGAGAGAAAGAGGGAAATAGAGGGAAGAAATAAGGGATGGAAATCTAAAATATTAGTGGAGAGGTAGTGTTATGCATGAATTCGGCCTTCTGGAATCTCGCCAAATTTACACCAATCTTTTAAAATTATGAGATCAATGAACCCACAAAAGAGAATGACACTAAGACTAGCGTGACTCTTGCCACACGGGCTTCGATGCTTAAGTTAGAATCGAAGAAGTTGAGTATAAGATGTAGAGGGTATTGTGAGCATACCTTTAAAGTTTAGGTTGTTGTGTTATTTACACAAATTTTCCCTCGAGATCTTCCGTGTTGGGCTTGTCAAGCCTATAGTTGATGGAGTCGTGGAATCGTCGGCCCACTTCGGCTGGGCTACATTACATAACCAGTGTGAACTGCTTGGTGCCGAGTAGAGGTCGGGGCCGAGCCTTGGTCGGCCCAATCAACTTGGGTTCTTGACCTTTATTTCGTCGTTTTTTAGAATTGGGCTTTCTCGTCTACCAATCTAGGCCCAACCTTCTACTATTTATCAAATCTCGTTTTTATTTATCCCATAACAATTTCCCCCATCCTCAAGATGGTGATTTTTTTTTCAATGGTTGAGCTCACTATCTTCAGAGTAAGTTTGTTGAAGTGAGCTTGGGATGTCGATTCAATAGTTGGGCTCGCTATCACGAATCAATGGGTAAAAATCGGGTCTGATAAAATTGGTGTCGTTAGACCTATGATTCCCGGATCAGTCACTAGTGGAGTACATACCCTTGTAGACAGTCGTTCTCGTCAAGGTCTGTAGGCATTGAGTTCTTTACCCGAAAGCTTTACCCTTGTAGGCAGCACGATAAGCAAGACATGGATGGGTCCGGTGTGTGGGTTTGAAGGGAGCTAGAAGAATGGAGTTAGGCATGCAAGTGGAAGAATGAAGTTAAAATAAATTGAAATTGGAGAAGAAAGAGACGTTCGTGTCTCCCAATATAGGTACCCCTTCCATGATTGCCACGGTATTAATTATCCTCTCTTCCAATATAGCTACCCGTTCCATAATTTTAAAAACAATATTTTTGGTTTTTCAACCTTTTTGTATACTCATTCCCACTTTTATGCATTGATTTTACGTTTTGTTAGGATATTTTTCATATTCTTCTACCTCTTAATCTTTATTCATTTGACAGATTTCACGTTTATTTTAGGGGTATATTGTTATATAATTTTAGCTATTTTTGATATTTTTATCACAAAATTTTAGGAGTAATTGTTAGATAATTTTAGTTATTTTGATGGGATGATATATTTGTCTGGTTCATTTTTCAAGTTGCACTATATAATATGACTAATTTTGCTGGTAGGCTTTTACCTTGAAAAAGGCCGAAGATGTTAGGGGTAACAATAGATATAGCCATTTAAAATAGACAATTTCAAAATATGGCAAAACAACTTTTGGTTTTCAATAATGACCAACGCAAAAAAGTAGGAAGATCTTTACTAATGTTCAGGGATAAAATTACTCTATTCTAAAAGTTATTTTTACTCTTAAGAATCCTATTTAACCATATTTATAAGATAATTCAAATATTTTTATAATCTTACTCATAATAGTTTTCCAACCCATTTTAGGGAGAATTATACTAACAAATCTAAGGAAAAAAATATAATATCTAACAAATATTAATAAACAAAATGTAATTAGAAATATACTAACACTCAAGCTGTGAACAGAAAAACAAAAATACAACAAATACGGACAACAAATATGATGAACAAAGAAACAAAAGTATAACAAATACGGTGAACACAAAAATACAAGAATAACAAATACAACAAATATGGTGAAGAGAAGAACAAATACAACAACAAATACGGTGAAGAAATGTCTATTTCTGTGAACAATTAATACAAAAATATAAAAATAAGGAGAAAGTAACAAATACAGTAAATAAGATCAACTAAAGAAATACAAATATTATGAACAAATAAGGTATATTTTTGGGGACAATTAATACACAAGCAGTAGAGAGATACAACATGGGAGAAATAAACAAATAAGGTATATTTTTGGGGACAATTAATACACAAGTAGTAGACATGTGACAAATAATAGAAGGTATGATATTCTCATTTTTAAATCAAAAGTGTCGAATATAAATAGAAGTTATGACATTTTGATTTGGCTGGTCATTTTTCAATGCCAGGTGACAAATAAGACAATTATTAGTTTCCTTTAATAAGTTACTACGTTTGATTTTTCAAAAAAAAAAAAGTACAACGTGTGGCCAAACCAGGCCTGTGCAACACACTGGGCTTTGCCGTACACTAGAATGGGCTTTGCCATACACGGGCCAAAAAATTTTTAAGACTGAGTGCAAGAGAGGTGCGCCAGGCCCAAGCTGTAGTGCAAGGCATGGGCGACCCTCGAAGGCCCAGGTAGCAAGCTACMGTGGTGGGCCCTCCCCCTAAAAAAATAAATTTAATATCATGTGGGCCGATGACCCACGTATCAGATATTAAACTGATAAGAACAGATACTACACTTGATCTTAGCCAAAAGGCCGAGAAAGGTATGAGAATTTCTGTTTTACAAATCCGCTTTTATGACCTTCTTCCATTGTTCCTTCTGCTGCTCCGATCGATGTGGGATTTAATGTTTGCTTTTCACAACCCAAAGGATTTCTCCCCTTCTCTCCGGAAGTCTTCTAAGGAGGACACTTTAATTAATTCAATAATCCTTTTAAGAGTTTAATTAATTCTGGGATAATTGATAATTAATGATTAATGGTATTTTTTAATTTATTGTCAAAGCGAACATAGCTCTCGGTAATTGACATATATCTCCAATCATGAGATTGTGAGTTCRATCTCCACCCCACGTGTATTAAAAGAATATTTCTTGATTTATTTAAGAAGTTTTGACGTGTATTCTACCGAATGTGGTGTAAATGTAACTTGTTTTATATTACATTTAACTTTAAAATTAATTTGGATAATAGGAAAAAATATATTTTTAGTCTCTCAAATTTTAAAATGGACATTTTTAGTGTGATAAATGGTTCTACATGGTTCATGAACCACTTAGTTGACTAGCGTAACGTCTAAATGTGGACTATATTTTATTTATTTGACCAAATAAATTAGTTCAATAGTTTGGAAAGGCAATGTGGTTGAGGTTGAGAAGTTGGGATGTTGATTTGGTTGCGTTGCTGTAATTTGAATAAATCATAAAATTGATTGAAAAAGTGGCAATCAATTCACGTGCATATGGAAAAGCTTGCTATGTGATGTGATGAGGTGGTGGACCAAGTAAGCGCTGTTGTAAGGTAGAAGTTAGAAGGATAAGGCTTTGCAGATATTTTTCCATCGTGAGATTTCTTTTGCCTTCGGGCCCCCAAATCAGTGTACCATCTGACAAACCTAAACCTAATAATGGCGGACTCCAAAATATCTGCCGTTTCCGCATTCCTCCAAATCCCACACCGATTCATCGTTGCTACACAGAATCGATCGTAATGGAGAACGGGAGAAAGCCAGGGAGGAGCGACGCTCGGCTGTCGATGGAGGAAGAAAGARAAATGGAGTCCAAAACCAGGGACTACTTCAATGGCGTCGCGCCGAAGCGCCACACCAAGCCTCAGCGCAGCGAATTCTCTGCTCAGTACGCCGACAAAGTAACTGGCGACGACGATTACATTCCTGAACTCGCTGAATTTCAGCGCCTCGAATCCGATCCTCGCGAGGTTAGTTTTCCGACCAATTCGATCCTCTAGGGCTCCGAAATACTGTGCAGTGATTGCGTTCTTCAAACTGAAACGGAGGTTGAATTTTCGATTGTTTTGAAATTAATTTGAGCAGAGACTTGATTATGATGGGCGTAACGCCAACATCTCTGAGGAATTTGTGGAGACGAAGTATTATGAGGATCTCAATTGTGTAGACAAACAACACCACACGGTACGATCGATGGATCTGTTCTCTTCCTGTGTGTATTTGGGAACTCTGTTAACGAAGAGATTTTTTGAATTCGATTCCAGACAGGAACAGGTTTCATAAAAACGGAGGATGGAGATGGCAAAAGTTTCAGCCTCGAAGCAGATTCTGCAACTGGCATTTGCTGCCATGAATCTTGCAGGGGTAACCCTGCGACCAACGACTGGATTCCGGCCACTAATGATCTGGTAAATTTAGATGAATTCCTATACCTTTTTTTTTGAAAAGTTGGATGAATTATTCCTATAATTGAAGCTCTTGTTTTCAGCTAGTACATTTTATTCTTTTTTTTTTCTTTTTCATTGAAAATTATGCTTGTTTATTAGTAACTTTTTAGGTTAAATTACAATTCTAGCTCAGTTTGAGGTTTGGTTGATTTCAAAATATAATCTCTATAGTCAGGTAAATCTTCCCAGATGTTTCTGTTTGGGTTAAAATACTATTTTGGCTTTTAGCTTTCGTTCGTCCTTGTAATTTCGACTTTAAGTAGAGATAGGTGTCAATTATTGTTGAGTGGCGATTTTGGTCTATAATTTTATTTTTAATCTTATTTTTTTCTATCACAATTTCAACGTAACAATATATTCATATATTTCTTGGAATGTAATCATTATATTATATTAAAAAGTTTCGGTTAGATGTAGAATTTGTTTTAAAATTGTGTAAATATGTACACAAATAGTCACTTTTTAAAAATACAGAGACTAAAACGAACCTTTAAAAGTATAGTGACTAAAATTAACGAAGGACACGGACCAAAACAAACTTTTTACAATAACCAAAATACTATTTTAACCTCCCTAATTCAATGAGATGTTTCTTGGTCTCTAATATACTTTCTAACACGTCGATTTTGGCCCTTCTGCTTCCGACTTTGCTTCATTTTAATTTTTCTAATTTTGAATTGGCTTTTTGGCCATATTTGTAAAATGTTAACACAATTTTATAAGTAATATAATATAACTTTTTAGAGCCATAAAACGCTATGAAAATCAAATCTAAACTATAGATATTAGAATGACCATTTAACTTGAGTTTTTTCTTAAAAATACTTTCAAAACCATGACCAAATTTTTAAAACCCAATTCTTAAAATTTTGCTAGAATAATGGAAACTCTTATTTAAGCTAAAATCACAAAACATCTTAAGAATGAATAAATCATCACTCAACTCAAAAACTTAAGCTGATGGGTTGGGTGAGCTTGGAGAATTACATCAAGACCCAACAAGTGGAAATTATAATAAATGGGGAGGAACAATAATGCATGAGTTTAAACACAAGACCTCCCACTATCTTAAGAATGAATAAACCACCACTCAACCTAAAAGCTTAAGCTGATAGGTTGGATAAATTTAATTCATTTATATGGATTCTGACAAGACAAAAGAACAATAATAGAGAAATGCTGTTATAAACAGAATATTGCTGCACCGTTAAAGATGATTTATTGACTATTCTCTCTGCCTTCACCAAATTCACAATGTTCTTTTTTTCTTTTAAATAATTTTGAAACTCCATTTCAAATCAAATCTTTTTTTTTTTCTTTTTTAGTACAAAGATTACTTGTTGATTAATAATTTTGAGTTCAAGTCATAAATGTGTACATAAGGATGCTCATGTTGGCATTTGAATATGACTTGTTATCGTGATTAATTTTCTCGATAAATTTAATTGATCAATTGTTCTGGAAACAGTAATCGACTGAAGCGATTCCGATTGATGATATTCATTCAGGGACATCATGTTTCTGGCAAGCCAAAGAGGAGTGACAATTCGTGAAGAAAAGCAACTTATTATTGTCACTCTATGATTTTCAGTTTGGTGAATGGATGATATGTAACTTAAAATGTGGGCACTTAGCACTATGCTATTTATGTAGGTTTAAATTTTGCATTCTTATGGTGTATTAGAAATTTAGAACTATCAATTTAGCTGGGTCACTTCTATTCATGGTCACTGAGTTGAGCTAAATGAATTTTTATACACGTGTGATGTGATTAGGATAGATTGGGCTTAAAAGATATAATCCTTCCTCCAACATTACGTCGGGCAAACACAATTTTGAGGCTCTCCCCTCTTGAAGAGACGAAGCAGAGCTTCAAGGTGGTATGTCGGGTATACATTTTTATCGATGTATCCATATTTTACGTCTATGAATTTGACGTGAGTGACGAGTCACATTTTCATACTATTGTAGAAAAATCAATAAAAAATATTATTAATATGAACATATTATTGATATTAAAAATAAAGTAAAACTATTTCTTGTTAACGGAAATATTTGTTATAAATTTTTTTGTTTTGATAGATTTTTCAGAAATATCTGAAAAGTCGACAGACATTTTTTTAGTGAATGTTTAATCCCTTATTTAATTTAGTTAAATTTGTAGAGGTAATTAACTCATCCATTTTGAATTTTGTATTTTTTAATTTATATATTTTTAACCATAATTTTCTTTTTATTTAGTTATTTTTTTGCAAATTAAATTTTGAACATAATCAAATTATTCACAATAATTCGGATCAAAATTTAACATTTATATCATAGGTCCAACAAAATATTTAATGACAAAGTTTTAAAATAATGGAATAGAAAGTGATCCACGTCATTACATCAAAAGTAAATTTCATCAAACCATTTATAAAAGCATATTTGTAAAGTTAAATTTTCTAACTCTTTTTTTATTATTAAATTTGGAAATCTATTTAATTTTAATTATTTACTTTGAAATTTTGAGAATATAAAGTATAATGTAAACTTTTATTGGAATGTTAGTGGTTATCAAAATATAATAGTTTTGTTACTTTACATTAAAAAAATTAAATAATTTCTTTAACTTGAATAATTTAAAATTAAAGATCATTTAATTTCATAGGTTCGAAATAAAATACCATTTACTTTGCTTAGTTTGAATATAGCTAATTTTAAAATCGATTATTAATATGATGGCCCTAAATTAAATATATATTTTTAAATTTTAATATGAATAAATCTTACCTTGAAATCACTTATTAAAATTTAAATGTGTTTTCAACTATTGCTACTTAGATATGTATAAAAAAAATGAAGATAACAATATTTTTTAAGAAAAATATAATATTATTATTTTGTTGTAGGAAAAAAAATTAGTTTAAATAAAATATTATAAGTGGCGTATCAAGAAGTGACAAAGGAGAACATTCTTCTATAAATAAATAAATAAGAGGTTAAAAATATATTTTAAAACTCATCCAAGCCAACCCATGAGATTATACTTGAGAAATCTATGGTTCTCAAGGTAAAACCCATTCCAAGCTAATACCATTTATTTTTATAATTTGAATATAACTAATTTAAAATTGATTATTATTTTTTTAATTTTAATATGATAACTACGAATAAAATTAAAAAATAACCAATTTTAAGATTAGCTATTGAAATTTGCAATTATAGAATATAATTTGCCGTTATCATAATTTTAATAGGAAATAAGTCCATAAAAAGCTAACATTCTTCTCTTATATTTTGAACCATTGCTATTTAGATAGATACAAATAAAGAGAATAAAATTTGTTAAGAAAAATATAATATAGTCGTAAAAAATTAGTTTAAATAAAATGTTATAAGTAACAAGATAACACTTTTTTAAATAAAAGCAAAAAAAAAAAAAACAAACAAACAATTTTTTCCCTAAAAAGAAAAAGAAAATTGTTTGTAACCCATGAGGTTGAATAGTAACTCGTGGGCCAAACGGGGACCCTAAGTCCCACCCAACCGCATAAGCCTCGAAAACCTTTCAAAATATTGTATTTTCCTTAAAGTACGATCATGAACCAATAAAAAGGTGAGGAAACTTGCAAGCTTCTACCATTGAAATAATTTATCTTTTTTTTTTCTTTTGTACTTTTTTAACTACCAAAAAGAGTACATGATAATGTACAAATACAACAGACGGAAGGGTAATGAATTCTATTCTAAATTGGCTCTCGTGTGATTTCAAGAATGAAAGAGGCAACACACCTTAAAATTGGCCATTTTCAAAGTCCAGTGATGTACAAACTAGCAGCAAATACGATATCGCGTTTTATAGCATTCGATGCAGTTTCCATCTTCTTATGGAGTGCAGAATTACCCATAATAGCCGCTGCATTTTTGAATTCTCGACACGTTTCGTCCAATCTGACAATAGTTCTTACAATCATGCCTTCAGGAACATCGGTGAGCTCACAGATATCTGCAAATGGAGTTCCCTGCAATTCTCAAAAACATGAAAAGCTAAGAGGCCTAGACAACAAGAGCACGAAATAAAGAGGTTCAATTAACTTCTTGCAGAGAAATGGTTACTTTTGCCCATTCATAGACTACTTCGACGAGACCGAACTTGAGATTATCTCGGGCATATTCCTCGGGGCCTATTGGAAGTCTGGACTGAGCTTGAAGCTGGCCAAGTCTAATGGCTGTCTCGTACAATCTGATACAAATGAATTTCCAACATCACCTTCTCATTTCTTAAAGAGTTTTATAAAGCAAATCATTTATAAACGGTTACAAGCCACATGGAACTTGATTTCATGATTTACACAGGACATACTCGAAAAGGGGGCTGGAACTTGATTCCATTATTTACGCAGGACATACTCGAAAAGGGAACTAAAAGCCTGCTTCCCATAAAATGCAATACAATGGGAGAAAAAGTCCTCTGATTTGAATTTTGAGGTGTTCATCATGAATTAATTTTTAAAAAATCAAGCATGTCAAGGACTCGAGAAATTAGAAATGGAACCAGGTCTACTTGAGCATGGACAGAGAATTCAATGAATTTTTGGTAACGTGAATTTTTTTAGGATTATTGGGACTTGGATAATGTCTGGAATAAACGAGCAACTTCATGCCTCTCTTTTCCTATGAGTTCTAAAGTTTTGAAAATGTTCCTCTTATTTTTGACATAGGTGAATTGGGGTAACCCCTGCAATCTTCCTAGCCTTGTTGAAGTGTAGGATCCTTAGGCCACCCTTTTTGGATATTTCAAAAACAATACTATTGATTTGTTTCTTATCTTGGGAAAAAAATGTGTGACAACATGTACCTCTTTTTAGCCATAGACAGCTTTGGAGTAAGAGAGGGTTCGGAGGTATTTTTCTGCTGGAACACAAAAGCAGACATTAATGCCACTGCTTCTTCTGGTTCAAGGTCATCCAATTGATTCTCGAATAAACACTCTGTACAAATCAACTCCTCCCCTGAGTTCATCTCACAGGCAACACGACCTTTGATTTGAACCACGAGGTCAGAATTTATGCAGCCAATTTCCTTTAAAACATCAATCTGTCACGCAACCCCAAAATTTAGAATGCCACAGCATATATAAACCAGATTAATTCACAAAAAAGAAATAAAAAAACACTAAATATCCAGGGAAAAAAATGATTACCCGGCCCTGAAAATCTGGCATTTGTTGAAGTGCTTCATCCGACATTTGAAACTTAAGGTTATTAACTTCCTCTTTGTGTTTCTTCATCTCTGCTGCTAATTTCAGGTGCTCCCCCAATTTTATGCACCCATGGCACTTGTTAGCTACCATCTTTAGCATTAAGTCAGTACAATCCTTGTACGCCTCCACAAGATTTACATCTTTTAACTTCAAATCTACAACGAAATCATCATTATAATGTAAGCTCAAGGAAATGAATATTTAAAAATAATGCATGGAATAACTTTCTAAGATGATAACAGAATCAAAATGTACAATGAATTTTCATTGTGACAAGTACGCATAAGTGCATTGATACCTTAATGACATGATGCAAGGACATAAAAAACTTTCCAAAATGGGCAGGGATACGCACATCTTGTACACGTGCTAAATGCTGGATAATTAATTATGAACCCTTGAGTTCTACCTATGTTTGAGATGCGAGCATGTGAAGAAATGCCCAAGACAGGATCTTTCTTTGAAAACTGATGACATTTAATAACCTAAATAATTGACTGAACGGAACAATGTTAATCGAGGAAAGGCTGATTTCATAAAATTATGTGGCTTCTTCGTAATAGCTTTCTTCCAACTCTCAATTCTTAGCAGGGAAGTTGATTTAATTGGCTTGCTGAGGCATGGATTCCTGATGGAATTGAATTTCATTGAGGCGGAGTAAGGGGATCTTTGGTAATGTTTAGCTCTGAAGGGCAAACTTCTGGTCAAAGCTTTGTGGTTTGAATGTTGGATGAAGCCACTGGTTTGAACCGCAAGCAACTTGAGTGGAGCGTGACAGTGGTCCAGTAGAAAGAAAAGGAAGCTGATTTCTGAAGTAGTCTCTGCTCAAGGTATTAGTCTTGCTAATGATGTCAATATTGAAAGAGAGTTCATTAATTCTATAAGAAGCTCCATACCCAGCTATGGCTCCAGATTTCTCACAGGTGAGCTGCAATGGAATTGATTTGGGTTCGAGCTCAGTAGACAGCTTGACATTCAAATCAATGAGGAAATGGTGTGGAATTCTATCAGGAATTTGGCCCCTGACGAGGCTCAATGATTGGATGTTAAAAGATGAGAAGAACATCCTAAAATTTGTTGTTATGAGGACGATTCAAGACTCCTCCAAGTATTGTTATTAATGTTAGTCTTAATAAGATAAGACTTACCTCATACTTAAAAGAAGATAAATGTTGTCTCTGATTTCAAGCCAACTAATCTCACCTCCTGTATTTACGATGTCATAGCTGAACTTCTACTGATATATTGAGACTTTTTCTTCATCTTAGTATTCATATGTTCCAAGCTGCTTTCGTTAGAAGTAGAAAATAATTGATTCTAGTTTGATTGTTAACAAGGATAAAAATGATTGGGACAAAAAAGGGTATCTTTTGAACTCAATATTGAGAAAGCTTTTGATAAAGTTGATCAATTGTTCTAGGCTATTGTAGTGTCTCAAGTGCCAACTTCGACATCATAATCAATGAGAAGCTAAGGATTAAGATTCTTGCTACAGAAGACTTTCGTAAATAGGATCATTTATCCTATTTTTCACTCGTGACAGTGCACATGGCAGGTGTTGAAAGAGTTTGGGCTGATTTGGTGGTTTCCTAAAGAGGCCTTTTGTGCCTTTTCTCAACTACTTTATGCAGTTCCAGCCACACAAAGTTCTATGAGAGAATGTCTTGGAAGTTACATTGTTCTCTAGATCAAGAATCTTCGTTTACTATTTTTCTTTTTTTCTTCTTTCTACCCAGAAACAGTTATGAGATGTCTTGTGTTCCCATGTTGTAACCTCCTTATTTGGTAAGGACAAGTTGTTCCTTATTGAAAAAAAAAGAACATTTTAACTCACTTTTCTTGGACTTGGTCAAGAATTCATTAGCCAATCCCAGAAACTGTTAAAATGCCTCGGGAAAGTTTCTTGAATTGGTTGTAGAATTCTGGACCCATCCTTGAAATTTTTGAAAGGTTTTTTCTTCTTAGGAACCTAAGTGGCATAGGGTTACTGTAATGAAGTATGGTCTGCACCGTTTTGAGTGGGTCTCAACTATTTGAAAGTTGTTATCTCTCTGATATGGGACTGCAGCCTACCACCTCTGTTTTGCCGACCTCGGGCATTTCTTCTTCCATCTCTTTGGGGCTTTACCATCCTTTGATGGACAAGGAGACGTTGCAGGTTTCAACTTTACTTTTGTTGTTGAGGGATGTCCACATTTGTCACAGGAGGAGGGACCTTCGCAGTTGGTTCCCAATTTAAGGGGTTTTCCAGTAGTTCTATTTTTTTTATCTCTCAAGTGTCCCTTGCTCCCCCTGATGCATTTTTGTTTACCTCCCTCTAGAAGGTTAAAATCTTTGAGAATATCAAATTCTATGCATGGAAAATGGACCATATTAGAAGGCATTCTTCCTTCTTTAAGAGCAACAATGGTGCATCCTTTGTAGATGAGCGTCGAAGGACCTTGATCATATCCTTTGGGACTGTCGGTTTGCTCAGTTAATTTGGTTTTGCTTTTTGGAGTCTTTCAAAGGCCTGTAACAAAGATTATCGGGAGATGGAGGAGGTTCTACTGTTTCCTCCGTTTCAATATAAGAGAATAATTCTTTGGCAAGTTCACTGTGAGGTATCTCCTCACAATACTTCTTGGTATTCAAATAACAAGCCCTTAGGCAAAACAAAGCTACCCCACCAATTCGAGAGGGTGGGTTTCTCTCCTTACACACCTTCTTGCACTCAAAACTAGAATGATCCTCCCCTACTGTCCTCTGGAATATTTCTACCCAATTCCCTTCTATCCGTACACCCTTTTCTCTCTCCTAACCGTTACACCTCATCCCTGATTATTCTCCTCTTCAAGTACATTTCCCTCCCTGCCCTCACGTACATTTACACTCTTACCCTTTCTAGAATAGGTTCTAGTTATCGGGGGTCTAACATTCACTTCTTCACCATTTTGTGGGGCGCTTGGCTTGAGAGAAATAACATCCTTGTGGACCTCCGTTTCTAAGGGTGTTTGCAATTATCAGTTAGGTGTTATTCTTTTGTATTGGAACTCTTTCTGTAGTTTTAGTGATGTAGCTAATCTAGCAGAAGTGTGTAAGAAATGAATCTATCTCTTTATTGAAGGGCTGAATCCTATTTATAGGATTCTTAGCTTAAAACTAAGGGTAAACAAAGTTACCATGGGTTAAAACTAAAGCCTACTAAACAAAAGCTAACAACAGAACTTAAAGGCTACTAACGATTACATCATTTAGGCTCTTTTTGTTGGGCCTTTTTTATGCCTTTGTATATTCTTTCATTTTCTGAATGAAAAAAAAAATTAAAAATCATCAACAATATGAAACGGGTATTTGCTCAACTATTTCTTTACCCAAGAATTTTATGGGTACAAAATAACAAAATTTGAATGTATAGAAAGGTCATAGATAATTATAAGTAATTTAAGAAAGTTGGACACCTCTCATCTTAAGCGAGCTCGAGCTTTACAATAAAAAAAAAAAATTTGCCTACCCCCTCTTACAACCCGATCTATCTAATATATATGTTAAATCACTAATCAACCAAAAAACTTAAGCCGATGTGTTACGGTAAATTTAATATTTTATAAATACTTTAACACTCCCCCACACTTGTGAGCTTAAAATTTTGCACAACCAACTAGTGGTAACCAATATTAAAAGGGGAAGAAATTACGTTACAAGGGTTCGAAGTTCAAACACAAGACCTCCTACTCTAATGCCATGTTAAATCACCAATCAATCTAAAAGCTTAAACTTATGAGTTACTATACATTTAAACTTTATAGATATCTTTAACCATGTATTACAAGTAGTCTCTTACAAACACCTGAAGAACTATTTCGCTAATTACCATATCACTCCTACTCCCTCCTCATTACTCCCCCCCTCAAAACAAACATTGTCCTACAAGGCTACAATTATACTGTACAATTATTTCTTTGTATTGTATTTCCTTGTTTGTATTTAGGTTCTAATAAGTAAGTGTTTCCTTGTGTATGCGTGGGTATTTCATTATGATTTATTGTTTTCTACTTCTTCTAGTCAACATCAATGTCGGTGTCCACTAAAATTCCCAAAGAATCTATTCTAGAAGAAACTAATAAAGTTTCCATGAAGGATTTGCAAAACACTCATCCTAGTTATAGGACATAGGTTGAATGGAAAAAATTATCTAAAATGGTATCAACTTGTTCGAACATTCATGAAAGAAAAAGGTAAGTTGAACCACATTCTTGGGATAGGACCCAAACTAGGAGATCCGAAATTTGATGTGTGGGATGAAGAAGATTCAATATCAGGTCTTCGTTGTGGAATTCAATGACTCCAACCGTTAGTGATACATGTATGATAGAATGCCAAGGACAAATGGAAACAATAAAGCAAACTTATTCAAAAGTGAAAGATGTTGCACAAATACATGATATCAAGACTCGTATCTTGGGAACAAAACAAGAAAGTTGTACAGCGATAGAAGACTACAATTCTTCAAAGCTTGTGGCAAGGGCTCGATCGTTGTCAGTCCGTCAAAATGAGATGTAGTGAGGATGCTGGTACTCTAAAAAGAGTTGTTGAAAAATACCAAATTTATACTTTTCTTGTAGGTCTCAATGTAGAATTCGATGCTGTTCTATTACAAATTTTGAACAAAGATCTCTCATCTCTAAATGAGATTATTAGCGTGGTTAGAAGTGAAGAATCTTGCCGTGGTGTTATGATAGAACTACAAATAGAAGAATTGATCATGAAAATAGGAGGTACTAAAATGACTAAGGTAAAACACAATGCACATGCTGGAGCTAACAATTGGGATTAAAGAGCACACCATATAAGATATTTGTGATATTTGTGAAGGGATATGGATAAAAAAGCTACTAGAAGAATTGAGAGATTTTCAAAAGGCACCCATATGGGTTATTGCGACAACAAGGCTGTCATCTCCATAGCCTACAACCAGTTCGACATGATAAGAATAAGTATATTGAAATTAACAAACATTTTATAAAGGAAAAATTGACACTGTGTGATATGTATCTCTTATTTCCCAACAATAAAGGAGATATGTTGACAAAAGAACTACCAAAAGTACAATTCGACAGGATGATTGACAAGCTGACAATGCTAGATATCTTTGAACAAGCTTGAGGGGTTGAATATTAGCGGTAAATATTTAAATTAGTTGTAAGCATCAATGGTTATTTTATTCTTATTTTTGTTTGTTGGTTTATTTGTGAATATTTGCTGTAAATATTGATGGTTTGATTATTTTACTCTTATTTTCCTTTGTATCTCTTTTTTTTTTTTTATATATTGGGATACAAATATTTTTTATTCCATCAAAATCAAGTTTGTTCTTGCCTTTCTCCTATATAATAAGGTTTGTTATGTATTTGATGTAGTTATAGTTCCCTCTTTGGCTGCCCTTGTCTTTTATTAGTCATAAGCTTGTTCATGTGGCTTATAAGTTGTGATTCTTTTAAGTTTTCCTTTTACTGCACGGTAACTATAAGTTACTGCTAGCTCATAATCCTCTATATATAGGCTTCTCATTCATTAAAAAGAGGTAGATTGAATCATTTCTCAAAATCCTTGTGAGGAGCTACATTAGTTTGGTATCAGAGCACCCAAATTTCTGAGCATTCGATGGTAGGAAAGAAACCAGCGGTGGAAGATCCTTCCTTAGCCAGCAAAGAAACGGAGCAAATTTCCGTCCTCTCACCACGATCATCGACCATACGCTTGCAGTTGGTCGAAGGAGATTTGAAAACCATCCAAAAGGATGTGAGTGACAAATCCTGGAAATCATCCATTGGTAAGTTGGAGAACTTGAGTCTTCAACAAAATCCTACAAGATCCAATCAAGAACCAAAAGGAGTTGATCATCAAAGCAACTACCATCAAGAACAGCACCTTGTGCAACCAAGAAGGTACCAAGATTATATTCTAGAACCAAGAATGCTCCAAGAACCGCGAGCTATCCGGCAAGACTTCAACCAAAATCTTGGAGTTTGTATGCCAAGAAGGTACCAAGAATGTTCAAGCAACAATGTTGGAGTTTGTACGAATTTTAACAAATTAGTTTCATACAAGACTGAGGTATTTTGCCACCAAACTCCAAACAACAGCTGTGAAATTTTTCTTTCTTCTTGTACAAAACTCCCAACAACTAGAGAAAAAAACCCAAGTGATACCTTAACCAAGATGGAAAGATTTTGCCACTAAGAGAGTGAAGACACTTCAAATGATTACATAAGACCAACAAAAATTCCAGAGGATGCAAGAGGTAACTCAAATTTGCCTCAAGTTGATGCCTTCAATGTTCAAATTGTGGAATCCAAAACTCATCTCAAATTGAGGCAATTGAACAAGAAGATGAGTTTTTTTCTAAAGTTTGACAATTATTTTGATGGGGAAGAAGAGGTTGATAAAGAATTGATAGGAACATATGACGATTCTACTTTTTCCTTGGCTACATTGTTCTTTGAAATTGAAATGCAAGATGTTAACGGGCACAATAATCAACAAGAATCTTTATTGAGATGTTTGGGTCAAGAATTTCACAAGAATTGTTGATCTCAATTCATTTCACAAGAATTGTCAAGATGAGCCAATGAAAAGGGAGAATCTTTTATTGGCTTCTGATCTTTTCCAAAGAAAACTCCCTCGGATAAGTTCAAATAACATAGAAGATGAATTTATTTTGAGTTTTGCTGATTATTTTGATGAAGGAGATGAAATTCTATTTTTTTTTTTGAGAAATGTTTCACTAATGCTGTAGAATTTGATAAAGATCCTAATGAAACTCGTGTGGCTAGAGTTGAGAAAGGTTTGGTTGAAGCTAATATTGTTGAAGTTGGAAAAATGGGAGACAGTTCAATTTACCAACCTCAAGAATTCAAATCTGATTTGCTGCATGAAGGTCATGCTGTGGTTGAATTGCAATTAATTTATTTGGAGAACCAAGATCTTGCTAGAAAAAAATTGGGCTCTTTACAAATTAGTAATGTTACTGGTGGAAGTGAAGAGGTTGAGGAATTCAGAATTTTCATCCATAAGAATAATTTTCAGATGGGGCCGACATCCATTTCAGATTTTGGATATTTTGTTTCTAAACAAGAAGAATTAATTGCCCAGAAAATTATTTGCAAATATTTCCGCATTATTTTCATGGAAGAAATTTTGGGTCAACAATTAAATTCCTTATGTGATTTTGCACTCAATTGGATGCTTGACACACTGCTTTATTGGAGTTTTGAAGAATTGAAGACAATATTTTCAGTTGAAGTATATTTGAATCACAAAAAGAAGAGAGATTCAGTTTTGAAAGTTTGCTTGCTTTCTCTGATGACTTCTTTGTAGCAGTATAACTCGAGGACGAGTTGTTTTTTTAGGTTGGGGAAATTGATGTAGTTATAGTTCCCTCTTTGGCTGCCCTTGTCTATTGGTCATAAGCTTGTTCATGTGGCTTATAGGTTGTGATTCTTTTAAGTTTTCCTTTTACTGCACAGTAACTTAGTTACTGTAGTTACTGCTAGTTCAGAATCCTCAATATATAGGCTTCTCACTCATTAATAAGACGTAGATTGAATCATTTCTCAAAATCTTGTGAGGAGCTACGTTAGTATTTCTTACTCTTTATGAATTGGAATACAAATATTTTATTCCATGTCAAGTGTATGTTTTATTTAACAATTATTTAGTTCCTTGATGTAAATATTCCTAGTCTTAAAAAGGAACAATCACGTCTTGGTTATTTTAATACTTTTCTTCACTTTCTCCACAAAACATGTCCCTATGTATCTTGAGCATGCCCAAACATGTTCACACATAGAGCTGATCATTGGTCGGTTGGGGTCGGTTTTTGGAAAAATGGGAAACCGACGATATTGTTCACAAAACATGTTCACATAATATGGAAACCGACGGTTTCCCTCTGCAATTTGGAGCCGACTGGCCGACCGATCGATTCGGTTGGTCGGTTTAACCGACAATTTTTTTTTTTGGTCGGTTTAACTAAACAATCTGTCAGTTGACTGGGTTGGGGCTGTTGGGACGGGGAAGGCGACTGACGAGTGTGCTATTAATGTCGTTGAGTAATAAGAACTAAGAAAACTTCGAAAGATTGCGTCGTCGGTGAGAAATAAAAGAAAAAGTAGAAGACATGGTAAAGAAAAAAAGATCTAAAATGGTAATGGAAGAAGAAAGGAAGAAGATGGAGAAGA